ACAAAAACTGCGGCAAAAACAAGGGAGAGATAGCGCATCACAGAATGGAGAAACCATACCTAGAAATGGAAGCCTCAGTAGCATTGCGAGTAACAGTACTGGGCTGACTACATTACTGAATCAAGGGTTGGAAAACAATTTTCAAGGGGAGTCGGGTGTGGCAAATGATAGGGGAAGCAAAGGACAACTTTCAGCCGACTCTAACATACCTCCGAGGATGTCTTCGGCTTCAGGATCATCAAGCAGAAGAGCTGCTGGACCACCAAGAGACTCATCTCGAGGTTCAGTATCTTCAGATCAATCTACACTGTCAAGCCAAACCATGCAAAGCATTCCTGTTGTTCCACCGTATCCTGGAGATGAAGTCTCTATACCAATGCCACGTCCAAATGATCCTGATCTTTTGAATGTGGATAATTTTCCACCACCTCCGCCACCACCAAAGACAAATGCTGCATTGGTAGCTTTACAAAAAGGGGGGGATTTGGAAAGAAGAGCTTCAAGACGTTATTCTGCTTATCAAATCTCAAAACTGGTTGGTGCATCTCCAAATGGAGTTCCAATGATGCCTGTTCCACAAAACTCGCCAATACCAAACAGAGGACGCAATGATGCCAGGGAGTCTCTGAGAGCTGTTCAAAATCGTGATCAACGTCTCGGTCGAACAAATTCTCGTTTGATTCAGAATGAGACATCCCCAGTTCGAAAGCCAAGTGTGATTGCTGAAGATAGTCAAGAGTCATCAATTCAGCAGCCAGAAGAACCACCATCGAATGATAGTCCTATAGTCAAGACCCCAGAAGACAAGTTAAGACAGTCCATTAATGATTATGATGGACCAAGTGCAACTCTCAATGGACCACCCCCTGACGTTCTTCCAAACTTTGACAATCAAGATCAAGATGAAGAAAAGGTTACTTCTGAACCTCCTCAGGCCCCCCAACACAAGCGATCTCCTTCGAAAAGAGAAAGTCATTCTTATGGCAGCCAAGCTAGACAATTTACACCCGAAGAATCTCCACCTCCACCGGATAAAGAGATTACGATTTTCTTACAATACAAGACCAAGGTTAAGAAGTTTGTCCTTGCTGATGGATACAAGGATTTATCTATGGCAAGACTGCAACTAGCTTTCATTGAAAAGTTTGCCTGGAACACCCACAACAATGGTGTTGATCTACCCGAGATTTATATTCAAGACCCGGTATCTGGTGTTCGTCATGAATTGGAAGATCTTCAAGATATTAAGGATCGTTCTGTACTTGTACTAAATATTGAAGTTCTAGATGAAGTGAAGCGACATATTGATGATAGTCTAGGAGGATTGAAGAAGATGGTCGAGAGTGTCAAAACAGCAGTGGATGATCAACAAGTTACAATTCAAAGAGTCTCGGATCGCCAACAAGATGCTGCAAAGGAAATGGCTCGAATCGCATCTGCGCCACCTAGTTCTTCAAGAATGTCAATGATCGACACTGGACGTATCACCAATGGCATCAATACCAGCCCATCGAATGCCAATGGCCAAGCTCAACTTACTGAAATTCAAAGCCTTCGTCGCGATCTTGCAGTACTCAGGCAAACTTACTCTGGCTTCCAATCTGATATTCAAAGTTCCATGGCTTTGATCCGCACCAAGGCTAGCTCCGTCAAAAGTGTTGCTGTTAAAGCTGTCATTCCAGATATCAATGGTGACTCTGGACGTTCTTATGTCAATGGTGGGAAGAAGAACCTCAGCGAAGATTCCGATAAATTGGTTGCGCAAGTGGATGATCTTCAAGATATTGTTGAAGATCTACGAAAAGATGTCGTACAGCGTGGTGTACGACCTCTTCCTAAGCAATTGGAGACTGTTGCCAAGGATATTTCTCAAGCTACAATGGAGCTGAAGAGGATGCAAGACTTCTTGAAACGTGAGAGACCAATCTGGACCAAGATCTGGGAGAAGGAATTGGAGACTGTTTGCAATGATCGTGAAGAGATTACAATGCAAGAAGACCTTGCAGCAGATCTTCAAGATGATTTGGAGAAGGCCGCACAAACTTTTGCACTCGTTGAACAAGCTACTAAAGAACAATTGAAGGATGGATCCCCAAGTCACATCGGCACCGGTCGAAGTCTTTCCAAACTCAATCGTATTGATCCAATTGATCCTGCCGCGGCAAAGGAAGGTGTTCTTGATGAAGTTCGTGCCTTGCAACCAAATCACGAGAATCGTCTTGAAGCTATTGAGCGTGCCGAAAAACTTCGACAAAAGGAACTTGAGGGTCGCCGAGGCAATGTTCTGCAGAAAGAATTGACCTCTTTTGTTGAATCAGGAAAATTGAAGAAGTCTGGAGGTTTCGAGGAAGTTGAAAGGCAAAGAGTTGCAAAAGATGAACGAATCAGAAGAGAAGTTTGGGAACGTCAAAATGGAATGACGCAAGCAGATGCAGATTTTGAGGAAGTGAATGATCCTGCTGGGGAAGAGGTAGCAGAGGCAGATGAACCGGTCGAAGAGAATGTAGACGAACATTCTGATTTGGAGACATGAAAAGATATGATATCACGACGGGGAATGAGAGTTGCATTTCCGAAGCATGATGACAATTTTTGAAATTTTTCATTATCATGTCTTGAAGGAGCGATACAGAAAATGTATTGTTGAACTTCGTTCTCAACATGTACACGATTTTACCATGTTAATTTGACATGGAAGGCGCATATGGCGTTTGTTATTATATTCAAGCAAGGAGTTGTTAGGAATTGGGCATGTTTGTTTCATTGATTCGGTTGCATGGTTATTGACATGAGCGTTTCTTGTGGTTTTCGCGTGGCGATGAAAGCGTGCTATGCCGATATATGGAAGATTCCATGGCGTATTGTTATAGGGGCGTTGTTTAAACTTGGCATTTGATTTGAGACCTGAGAGGGAAGTTGATGGATTCACATTACATGATGGTGAATGATATGTGAATGAAGGTGTATGAAGGGAGAGGAAGGAAGTAGAAAGACATTGGAAAGGAAATCATGGGAAATACAATGGCATGATATGATACCAATGCAATACAAGGAATGGTAGATGGTATGTGTATTGTAGTGTAGTGTAGCTCAAGACCCAATACCAGGTATGAAGTACCAAGTCATCAATGTAGATGAGAAACTTTAAATATACCTACCTACCTACCTACCTAGGTAGGTAGTTCAAATAATTTGGATTGTTGTGATGGTTTTGGTTTTGGTTGTGTGTTGTTGCGATGGGATGTGATGGGATGTGATGGGTTGGATTGGGATGGGTTGGGATGTGATATTATATAAATGGTAAGGAATTATTGAGCTCTAGCTCGGCTCTGATTTCAGCCGGTCTAGTCTGGTCTGGTCTGGCATGGTCTGGTTCTATTCTATTTCTGTTCTGTCTTTTGAATAGCTTTGTGCTTAGTGCTCAGTGCTCAGCGCGCAGTGCTTGCTTGAGGCAGGTGGGATATGGGATATGGGATATGGTGTGGTATAGTGATATAGATAGTGATATGGATAGTGCAGAGATTGGAGTTGGGGTTGAGATTAGGATTACGGTTTTGATTGCGGTTTTGATTTTTGATTTTTGATTTTGAGATGAGAGGAGATGAGAGGAGATGAGAGGAGATGAGAGGAGATGAGAGGAGATGAGAGGAGATGAGAGGAGATGAGAGGAGATGAGAGGAGATGAGAGGGGAGAGGGAGGAAGGGAGAGAGGAAGGAAGGGAGGAGAGAGGAAGAATTCGACAAATAGGAAAAGGGGAATTTTAATAAATAGAATTTCTTTCTATCTTTTCATCTTTTTATCTTTTTAATCCTTTTATGTACTGCTTTTTATTATAGAATTGAATCAAGATTAGAATTAGAGTTAAAGCTGGAGTTTTTCTTTGAGGGGAGAATGGAGTGAAGAAGATAGAGGAGAGAAAGTTTTCTGGTTTTGGGGAGTAGGGTTGGAGTTGTAGTTTTTTCTTACAGGGAGGGGAGAGGGGAGAGGGGGTAATAAAAGAGAGAGAAAGAGGAGGTGTAGCGAGTAGCGAGTGAATTTAGGTGAATAGTTAGTTATATGTATTTTTTTGGTTTTGGTTTTGGGTTTTGCATTTGGACTTTCGAGTTGGATTTTGGATTTGGGTTTATTCTTCAAGGGTTAAATTAGAGTTGGAGTTGGAATTGGAATTAGAATTTGAACAAGTATTTTCTTTTAGGTAGGGAGGGAGAGGAAAGATGAAAAGAGAGGAGAAAGGGGGAGAGAGGGGTAGCGAGCGAGTGGCTGAGTGGCTGAGTGGCTGAGTGGTGGGGTTCAGATGGTTGTTGGATGTTGTATTGTATTTATATGTTTAATTATATGTGTATGTTTAAGTATAGATATGAGTATCTTTTCTTTTTCCCTTTTAGTTCTCTCTGATTCTTGTTTTTGGATCTGATTTTGATTTGATTTGGTATTTAGCATTTGATTTGAGTTTTGGTAGTTTAGGATTGGGGGGAGGAGAGAAGGGAGAGGCGAGACGGAGGGAAGAGAGAGAGATTAGATTGTATTGGATTCCATCATCAGATGCTAGCTATAGTTTTTAGTACTCATGTTGTTGAAGAGTAGGTAAGAGAGAGAGGGAGAGAGAGAGAGAAATTAAAACAAAATAGAATAATGAACGCAAAAAAATTTCTCTTATCTCTTCTTTTTACTTCTTTTTTTTTCTTTCCTGGGATTGAAATTTTACATGGGAAGCAAGCGGCAGCTAGAGCTGGAACTATTCTTGTTGTTGTCGTTGTTTGTTGAAGAGTGAGCATGCAGAGGAATGGATGGAATGGAATTAGATGCCGATGGTAACCGTGGGTAAGCGGCTAGTTTTGGATTTGGGTTGGATTGTGAAAATGGGTGGAAGTGGGAGGAAAGGAAAGGAAAGGGAACGAGCGCTTGGAAGGACGAGAATGGGATGGGATGGAAGATTCGAGATTGGTGGTGTTGGGTAGGTATCTATATATGTTAGTTATAGTATTTGCAGGATTTTATAATGGATATAATGGATGATGGAAGATGTGGATGGGAATAGATAGGTTTATCGAGTTTGAAGGTGTGGATACGGATGGGTATTAAGGTTACAACGCCTCTTATGTCATTTCTCATTTTTACTTTTTGCTTTTAACAGATGGTACGCATTTCGGCATTTTTAGATTTTAGTACGGAGTATGGTATGTAGAAAGAAAGTGTCTGAGAGTGATTACATGGTGACCACGGAGTACTGTGCTCGGAATTCGAATTCAAAGTTGATGTATGCATGGGTAAACAAAACAAGGGTTCTTGCATAACTTTTTTGAAAATACGGAGGTCCCGCTACATGACATGGGGGCTTGGAGGTTTGGAGTTTATTGCGGTGTGGTTATTTATTTGATCAGTGATCGGCTCATGGGTTTAGGCGGGTTGGGTGGGGATACTTGGGTGTGTAGATGCCGATAGCCGACTGGGCGGGATTTGATGGATTGTAGTCTGACAAAGTGTGGTGGAAGTAACGGCAAAGACGTAAGCTGAGGTAGGGGTTGGGGCTGAGTTTTAAGTTTTGAGTTTGCTTTGTCTTTGTGTGTTTGTGATACTCGACCTGGAGTCGGAGCGGACAATGTAGGTTGCGGACCGGTGTTAAGGTCTATGGATGTGTGTTAGACGTATGTTAGGGGTAGAATGGGTGATGGTGATGGTGGTGTGTGACTTCGGAGAGAGGAGATGTACATAGGAGGCTTACTATATGAGCGCGAAAAGGAGGAAAGATGATTGAGCAATGGCATGATTGTGCGTGAAGATTGGATGATGATGATGAGAGATTCAAGGGTTGAATGAGGGTTGCAATTAGAGATTGCGAGTCTCAACTGGTGTATATGATCCGATATCTGAACCCTTTCATCATAAGAAGGCACACGCAAGTGCAATAGTGATAAATCTAGTGTACATGATGTTAGATACATATACGGATTTGGTAAGCATACTGCAGAAGAACATTCATGAACAAGAGCTTATTAAACGTGCTGTCAAAAGTGATACATATAATACATACAGTAGCTTAGCTTCATACGCACGAAATTTGGCGAGTTGGCCAATAGGAGATTAATCGAAATGGATTGAAGGGTTTATGAGTCTAGCTACAAATTGAATAGTACGATCAGATGGAACGTCTAGATGGCTGTTAAATTGTTATATTGTCAAATTATTGAATTGATGTCAAAAATTGATAATCCACCCGTATGAGTGGATCTCAGATTCAACGGCATAAAATTAAAATCGGTATAACTCTCCCAATTTGCCCGACTATGGAGTTCGTCCATGGTCGTTTTACGGATTATGGAGATGGAGTTTAAAACTTTGCCTAGGTAGATCGGGGTGGGAACTTTTTCGGCAAGAAGGTTCTGCTAATCTCCTTTTTTCCCCTTACCAAGCTCAGCTAAGATGGATATCTTGTCATATAACAGGTTTTTATGCTTCGGCAGTAAAGATTTTATGTTCCATGTAAAAAGCTTTTAGATTCGAGTAAATAGAATAAGTATCTTATGATCCCTTTCATTTTTTGAAATTTTGAGGATTTATTTTTTCATTCATCATCCATACATACATAACATACAATTAATTAAATCATCATCGTCATTGTCAAAGTCAAAAAAACAAGGTCTAGACGAGTCCAAGTCTGATAAGCTTATCTCTCCATACTATACATCGAAAACTACTCGGACGAGTATAAACACAACTACGATAATCAATTGAGAACAACCACAACATCACAATCGCAGCCATGAATGAGGCAGATCGAGAAATAATACGCGCTGAGCGTGATGCCTCTCCAGAACGTTACTCCGTCGAATCTCCCATCCATTCCCCTCTACCCCGCCATCCCTCCCACGAAATAGAACGTATACCCACTGCATCCTCCATCTCGACGACTTCATCCGATGCCTCAATTCGTCCTACAGTTTCTCGAGCTCCCACACAAGCTGATTTAGAGCGTCATCCAACTGTTATATCTCGCATTCAAACTGCGCGCTCGCAGCACACGGGGACGGTGGGAAGAACGGCGACGGGAAGGAGTAGTAGACTTACCAGGATATTTAGTACAAAGGAGAAACCATTACCATTGATGGGACTGGGGAAGGAGTATCCTCCATTGCTACCGGCTCAGGAGGAATATGTGGTAGAATTTGATGGACTAGATGATCCGCTTCATGCTGTCAATTGGCCCATGAAAAAGAAGTGAGTTCCCAAGAGTTTTCCTACTACTTCAATTGAAGTGGAACTAATCGATCGAAATAGGCTTGTTACGGCAGTGATGTTGGCTTATACAACATTAGTATCATCATTTACATCGAGTATCTTCTCAACAGCAACCAGAGTTGTAGCAGCGGAATACAATGTTTCCACAGAAGTAGGATTGTTAGGACTCTCGTTCTATGTTTTAGGATTCGCTTTTGGACCAATATTATGGGCTCCTTTGTCGGAATTGAAGGGAAGAAGATTACCAATTGTTCTCTCTATGTTTGGATTTTCGATCTTTCAGATTGCAGTCGCGGCGGCGAAAGATTTACAAACAGTGTTGATCTGTAGATTTTGGGGTGGTATGTATACCATTATTTTCTCGCTTCGAGATTTCGCATAGGCAAAGGCTAATCTATTGGATGAATAGGTATGTTTGGTGCGGCTCCTTTAGCAGTTGTTGCAGCTGTTTTCTCAGACATGTTCGATAATCAAACGAGAGGACTTGCTATTACCCTATTCTCGATGACAGTTTTCACTGGACCTCTTCTAGCACCTTTCATTGGTGGATTTATCGTTGAATCTCATCTCGGCTGGCGTTGGACTGAATGGTTAACTGCTATCATGGGTTTTGCAGCATTCATCCTAGATCTCTTCTTCCTTTCCGAAACCTACCCACCAGTCATCTTGATCGGAAAAGCAGCCGAACTCAGAAGAAGAACCAAGAATTGGGGTATTCACGCCAAACAAGAAGAAATCGAGATCGATTTCCGTGAATTGGTCACCAAGAATTTCTCTCGTCCTCTTAGACTTTTGGCATCAGAACCTATCGTTCTTCTTCTATCGATTTACATGGCTTTCATCTACGGTCTTCTTTACCTCTTCCTTACAGCCTATCCAATCGTCTTCCAACAGATCCACGGTTTCACAGGTGGCGTGGGTGGCCTTCCATATTTCGGTATGATCATTGGAATGTTAATCGCAGGTATCTACGTTGTTCTTACTCAACCATCTTACAATCGTAAGTTAGCAGCAAACAACGGTATTCCAGTTCCTGAATGGCGTCTTCCACCGGTGATTATCGGAGGAGTGAGTTTCGCAGCAGGACTCTTTTGGTTCGGTTGGTCGGGGTATAGAGCTGATATTCATTGGATCGTTCCCACGCTTTCGGGTTTACTCACAGGATTTGGACTTTTGGCAATCTTTTTGCAGAGTTTGAATTATCTTGTGGATGCATACCTTATGTTTGCGGCATCGGCTATTGCGGCAAATACATTGTTGAGATCGTTGGCAGGAGCGGGATTCCCGCTGTTTTCACAATATATGTTCAAGGCCATGGGAGTCAATTGGGCGGGAACATTGTTGGGTTGTGTAGCACTTGTGTTGGTGCCGATTCCATTGTGCTTTTACTTGTATGGAGAGAAGCTCAGGGCGAAGAGTAAATTTGCGCCGGTTTATCCCACGCAGCAGGCTCCGAGGGATGAGGAGGAAGGAGGAAGTACGAGTACGAATGAAAATGGAAATGGAGAGATTGATCGAGATGTTAATGGAAAGGAGAAGGGAGAAGAAGCTAGAGTTTAATTCGAGGAAAGGAGCGGGGTGTAGGAGAATGGGTTATGATTTCATGAGGAGATGAAAGATGGAAGATGAAGATGAAGATGAAGATACCAATAGTTTTTAATGTCATGATATAATTAATTGCATGGAGATAGGATGAAGAAAAAGTAGATTTTATAGTGGATAAAAGGATTGAATGGGAATGGATAGGATAGGAATGGAATGGAAAGGAAAGGAAAAGCATGGAGGAGGGAAATAAGGATTTTCCAGGAGTTTGAGAGTTAAGCGATGAATAAATAATAGATTAATTATACGTATGATCTTTTTGAATAAAGTGGGGTTATTGTTTGTATATATTATTTGAGAAGTGGTGGGGTTTAGATGTGTGGTGGTTGTTATAGTGTAGTGGTTGGTAGTAATTGGTAGGATTGATGTTAATGCTAGTGTTAATAAATAATAATCGAGTTCTTGATATTTTGTTTGTGACTTTTGGGGTGTGTAGGTTGTGTTGTGTTGTGTTGGGTGATGTTGTATCGAGATTGGTTCAGCTTGAGATTGATATAGAGAATAGGGGGATGAGGGGGCTAAGGGGTGAGGAGTGAAAATGAGAATTGCGATTCGTTGGGATTGTGAGTGAGTGTAAGGAGAGAGAGGGGTGAGAGTGAGGAGGGGTGAGTGAGAGTGAAGAGTGAAGAGTGAGAGTGAAGAGTGAGGAGGGGTGAGAGTGAGGAGGAGGAGGAATGAAATTGATTCTAAATAGGGATTGAGATAATGATTATGAGATAGTAAGTTGATTGATTATATTATATCATATTACATTATGTGTTGAATATGTGAGTGGGAAGATATAAGTGAGAGTGGATTTTTGATTATAATATTTTGTAAGGGTTTTTGTAGTTTTGGATTTTGGATTTTGGATTTTTCTTAGATGGGCTTTTTGTGGGTGGGATGAAGGGAGTGGGATGAAGGGGAGTTGAAAGATTGAAAGATTGAAAGACTGAAAGTCGAGGACGGAGGATGGAGGGCTAGAGATAGGATGAGAAGGAGGGCAGGGTGATTTGATATAATGATATAGAAGTGATTTCAAAAGTTTAATATCTTGGAGTTAGGAATTAAGGATTGAGGATTAAGAATCAAGGATGCGGGTGGCATGAGATGAGATGAAATTATGGGAAAGAAAAGAAAAGAAGAAGAGAAGAGAGATCGGATATATATTTTTATATGTTTATGCGAGAGTTTATCTTACAAGATTGTCATATGTGTGGACATTTCTTGATAGAGTAGGGGGGATAAGAGGTATATAAGGTATGTAAACGTGAAGGGGTTAGTGGAATTTGGGTTGTATTGTATTTATGGATGGAAGGAAAGAAAGAGAGAGATGGGATGGAATGGGATGAGGTGGGAGTAGATAGATGGATAGATGGATAAGTAAATAGAAATAAATTCAGATCGAAAGCCGAAGGTCGCTTGTTATTATTCTTATTATGGCTATTAAACACATAGTACCTACAAAGATAGTCTTTTGAGGTTAGTATGAGAATAGATTATAAAGTTCTCAAACTCAAACTTGATATGAGGTGATATGATTTGATATAAAGAGTTTTATATATGAAATCACAGAATGAAGATTCGTTATGATATATCCATTACCAACCGGTAAGTTCTCTCTACTCAACTTACAAGTATGTGGACTTTGGGATTTGGAATGAAGGCGCCAGTTTTGATTTTTAGATGCGTAAGTAGATACTAGTAACAATGTGGGAGTTTTTCAAGTGGTTTGGGCTTGGGAGGGATCTTGATATTGTGTGTGATGTGATTTAGTCCACGAGAAGGGAGTTCAAGAGGAAGGAGGCTTTTGAGTTGAGATGGGAGCTGGGTTTCGGTTTGTTTCTATTTTTGAAAAATGGATGTTAGGGAGGGGGGAAATGTGAGAGAGATGAGGGACAGGGTGAATTTTGATGGGTATGAGTTTTAAAGAGATAGCATCTATACTTGTGTGTATTCAATAGAAGTAGTGTGACTGAGTAATAGATGTTCAGCTTTTCTTCCTAGTATGTTTTGCTTCGACTAACCTGATTTACTTAACTCAAGAACATAATGAGAGGAGAAATTTAGTTCTATGATATATTATGTATGTAAAGATATACAGAGGAAATGATATCTCGATATA